CGCACATTTCAACTCGCAGCATCAGCATTCAGGCGTTCATCTTCAGGCCTGCGGGTTAACCAAGTCGCAAGACCATCTCGCAGCATCCAGAGCAGCTTAGATCACTTCGCATTCCGGAGAGTGTAACTCCTGTGATACTTGTCCGAATTGAATGACGGTTGCAGAAGACAGAGGACTCATTTATCTCCAACTTTTGTGAAGGAAGTTTCAGTGCTTGGGAGGTGGAAGGCTTCCTGGAGGGCACATCTTTGCAGTGCATGTATACGACCAGAGAGAGGCGTCTAGACATGTGTCCATTCCGGAGGCCGTATCTTCCTGCTCATAGATCCGAATTGAATGCTCTTGGACGTTCTGGAAAGAAAACTCAAATGTCTCTGATTCTCATGAAGGACCCGGAAGCTGAATCGGCCTGGAAGTGCACCGTCCTTCGCATCCTTCAGAACTGATCTGCTCGGTCCGGAATACCTGCGAGACAGGGGTTTCTTCCGACGAGCTTATCTCTCTGCTCACGCGTCCGAATTCTACGATTCCAATTGCTATGAGACCGTGCTTCAATGCTCTCCAACTTCTATGAAGGACCCGCCATCTGAATCGGACCGGAAGGCTCCCCGGACAGGTGATTTCTGAGACTCGTTCGCACCCGGAGATTTTGGCCGATATACTTAATTCGCGGTACGTGAAAATGGCCGGTAAAGCTTCCCGCAGTACATGAAAATGGCCGGTAAAACCTTCCTGGCCAGCGAGAATGGCCGATAACCTCCATAGACTCAAGTTTTCCACTTTTTCAAGCTCTGCTCACCATTCCACCTCCTGGATTCATCTTTTCAGCTCCATAATCACCTGATAGACACTCAAAACATGCAAAGACTCATTGGGACCTAATGCATCTCCTAAGTTCTAAAACAAACCCTAGGGACCTAAAATACATGAAATAAAACATGATTTGGAATGATTTGTGCAACCTAAATGATGCAAATTATAAACATATCAGTCCTCTAATAGGCTATCATTGATGATGACAGGATATGTGGAGTTTAGTCCTAAGAAAGCATACCTGAGCCCTGTTGGTAGAGGTTTGAGCTCAACAGAGGGTGCATCAGCCTCATTCCAGTCCTGGTCCAAGCTGCTTTGGCTGGTGACTGATTCTTGGATTGCAAAAACCTCAGTGCCATTCTGTTCCAGCTCCACAAACCTTGTTTCAGGACCCAGCTCTCTTGCATTGTCCAGATACAGCTTATACCCTTCACTTGCTTCAGCCAAGAGCCCATTGTCTCCTTGTTCTTGAGTCAGAGTAGCTTGAAGAGGATCCTCTGTGTTCAGCTCCTCAAGCAACTCATCAGCCAACTGATCCATTGTCTCTACATAGAAACATTGACCTTCAATGGTGGGCTTCTTCATCATCTCATTCACATCAAACTTGAGCTTTTCAGACCCTAGTTGAAGCTCTATTATCCCACCTCTCACATCAATAATAGCTCCTGCAGTGGCTAAGAATGGTCTGCCCAAGATAAGAGGATCTACTGGCTCTTCATCCATCTCCAGCACAACAAAATCTGTTGGAACCTCAAAACCACCTATCTTGACAGGTAGATCTTCCAACATACCAACAGGCAATCTAACTGATCTATCTGCAAGGATAAGAGAAATCTTTGAAGGTTTGAAAACTCTAAAGCCCAGCTTCTGTGCTATGGAGAATGGCATCAAGCTGACTGATGCTCCTAAATCACAAAGACATCCAGAGAATAGAAGAGGTCCAATGGCACAGGGGAGTGTGAAGCTCCCTGGATCAGTTAACTTCCTTGGAATGGACTTCCTCTGAATGATAGCACTGCATTCATGACTTAGTACTACCATGCCTTGAAGCTCTTTTGTCTTGTTCAGAATAGCATCCTTCAAAAACTTCCCCATCTTTGGCATCATTAAGAATGCATCAATGAGAGGCATTGTGAGTGGTGTCTCTTTGAGTGCCTTCTCAAATACAGCTCTTGCCTTGTCCACTAGTTGCTTCTTAAATCTCCCTGGAAATGGGAGCTTGGGTTGGTATGGAGGTGGTGGCACATACTTCTTCTCTGGTTCTGGTTCCTTTGCTACCTCTTTACCCTTTTCTGACCTTGGTTTCTCAGCAACTTGATCATCCTTTAAGGCTGCCTCCCCCTCAGGTTGATCATTGGTCCTCAATGATCAC